CTGGAGAGTGTTATGCTGAGTGAAATAAGTCAATCAGAGAAAGACAAGTATCATATGACCTCACTGATATGAGGAATTTGAGAAACAAGACAGAGGATCATAGGGGAAGGGAGGGAAAAATGAAACAAGACGAAACCACAGAGGGAGACAAACCCTAAGAGACTCTTAATCTCAGGAAACAAACTGAGAGTTGCTGGAGTGGTGGGGGGTGGGAGGGAAGGGGTAACTGGGTGATGGACATTGGGGAAGGTATGTGCTATGGTGAGCGCTGTGAATTGTGTAAGACTGATGAATCACAGACCTGTACCTCTGAAACAAATAATACAGTGTATGTTAATAAAAAAATAAAAAAAAATAAATTACTTACAAACCAGAAAAAAAAAGAGAAAGCTCGATTTAAGTTAAAGTTTGATGTACAGGGTAGTTGATCATCCTAAAGAACCAAATATAAGTTACTATAGAATGAATAAGAGATAAGATGTTTGAAAAAATATTTTTACCCTATTGCTTTTGAGCAAAAGATAAACTTTTTTTAAAAAACAAAAATGTAGACAATGCACACTTAAAGTAACAGGCTTATTTTTTCCCCCTTTAGATTTACATGGTGATGGGAGGAGAGAATCCCTGCAGTCAGAATTGCCCACTAGGGAAGACAATGTGGTATTAATCCACTTGGGGGAATTTTCCAAGAAAAGAAGGTCTTTGAATTGAATTAAGAGAGAAGAAGGAAGCTCGCGCACATGTGCATGTGTGTGCGTGTGTTGGAGGGGGTCACTGATATTTGTTACAGGTGTAAAGAAAAGATCTTAAGGAAGAAAGTCCAAAGAAGGCAGGAAAGAGAGTCAGAAAAGGGGGCAGGAGGGTCAGAGACAGTTCATTTGTGATGAGATTGATCAATATCAGAGAACACATCTGTTAGGAACAGCTTCTGCTTCCCAGAATTCCAATCGGAATGGGGAAGAATGTCAAGCAGGGGTCTTTGACTGATCTTTCTGTGCCTCTTTTTCCAAGATGACATTCCTGATACACTCCTCCTGGCCATGAAAGAGGTAGACTTAGGGAGAAGGTGGCATGAGCTCTAAGCCCATTGCACAAACCCCTGGAGGACACATGGCAAATACAATTGGTGATGGTGCTGCATGGTGACAGCCTTGGTCTAGTTCCTTATGGCAATGATATGTAAATTAATCACTAATAAATGGCATCTTTTGTTGGCATATTAGTCAAAAGGTCAAGAACTGAACAGATCACGGGACAGACATATTTTCCTGATGGAGGCAGAGGGGGCTGGAAAGTCTGCACACAATGGAAAGCTTAACACACCCCATTTTTCCCACTGCCTTCCAGAAGTCTACAATGACAAGCAACACTTTATTTCAATAATAACCTATTCTTACTTTTTAAAAAATATTTAACTGTAGGAGTAAATAAACTATGTAGGGCTTTTTTGTTTCTCAACAGTGTAAAAACCCAAGTGATAAAAGAGAACAGAACAGAAGTTGCTTATTCAAAAAGTGAGTTGGAGTTGGCATATTTTGTGGTTGCAGAATGTATATCACTGGGGCAGAAAAAAGACCAAAAAGGAACACATCCCTTATTCGGCATGCTTTTATGATGACAGGGCACAGTTTAGTGTCAAACCATGCTGAGAGGCAGGTGAGCAATATGGTCTCCATTTCCAAACAGCTATATTGCCAGTTTCTTTGAGAATCTAAACTGGAGCTCACCATTTTCAATACATGTGAAGCTGTTGGAAAGGTGACTTGTAAGAATAGGGCACTTAAAAAAAAAAACCCAGATGTTATTTACAATCATCAATTCTGATTAGGAAGATGACATTTCTATTTAGGAAGCTAGGAATCTGTTTTATGTCCAGTAGCTGGAAAGATACATCAATGATGGAAAAGATATGTTTTATTTATAACCAAACAAATAGGGCTATAACAAAGGTGTAAGCCAGATTGCTTTTCTAAAGGCTAATAGGCAAGCAGAGCAGGGTGTGGCTTCTCTTCTGGGAGATTCTTTCATGAAGGAGGCATACAGGTAGTGATTGAAAGTTGTGCCTGGTTAGGTACCCTCATAAGTGCATTTATTATTCTGCATGCTGAAGTGGTTGGTGATGTAGGCAATACGTTTCATCACATGCATACTTTTTTTTTTCTATACACCCCTCTTTAAACTGCCCTGATCTGGATGCTTTCTCTTTCCAGGAGCCATATTGGTCAGAACTGGGATGTATGGATCCCTGTCTTGCCTCAGGCACCAGCATGCTCCTGGTGACGAACTCAGCTTGTCTGAGACGTGACTATGGTCACACCTCGTCACCAAGGGCCACCTCAAAGGGGGGCGACGTGAGACCTATCTGCATTTCACCCAGATATCTGCCATGTAGTGGACACGGACCAGTAGCGGATACGGATCACGTAGGATTCTGATGACATATTCTCTTAGCACTTTTGTGATTTCTAAACCATGTAGAAGCTGCATTCTTTCCCTCTAGTTAGCGTGACTACAGGAAGGGGGGAAAGAAGGCCAGGGAAGCAAAGCCAGAAGGAAAGGGGACACTTGGTGGCCGGAGCAAGGCCTCCCCACGTCAACTGAGGTTGGTGTTGGCAGCATTGCTTGGCCACACTGAGGGTGCCTTTGGTCCCGGCACCACCAGGAGTCATTACGATGTGATGCCCTCTGTAGACTGAGTGCTCTACTAGGCACCGCAGGGTAATGCGATCCTGGAAAAACTGGCTCTTTTCTTTGGGAGAGCTGATCACCTCCCTGGGGACCTCTGAGCACCCTCTTGTAGAATGCCTTGATCACAAACAGGCACGCTGGAAGGCAGTACGGGCTCGTGCACCTTGGCCTCACAGACCCTCAGTGCCTCAGGCACACCCTTTGCTGCTTGTCTTGTCTTGGGGACCTGTGTCCTGAGAGCACCCTTATCTGCGTGTTTCCATCCGACGCCCCAGACTGCCTCCCTTAGAGACGTGGACGGCCACAGCGAGGCTCAAGCAGTTACATTCCAATTTGGATTTTTCTGACTCTCAACAGTTTTGGGTAAAAACT